ATATAAAAGTTCATATTCATTTAACACTCATTCCAATTTGCCTGATGATCCTGGTTGATCTTCAAATCACAAGACATTCTTTACAGTCCACAAGCTGATCAACAACAGTTCGATTGGAGAGTTCTGAACAACATTCTTATTTAGTCTCTACAGCACCCCTTCCCATCCACCTGATGATCCTCGAGTATGATCCTGGGAGAGTCACAATCAATGAGTTTGCCACGCAAAATCACCGGGATGAATCTTGAAAGAGTAACAATTGTTTCACAGATCGATGAGTTCATAGTTTTTCAGAAAGTCACCTTCTAGAATGTCTCTGTCCTTCCAGCCCCACCAATGATAACTCAACAAAATACCATTAATATGTTGTGATACTTGCAAATTTCTCCAAAATTCCTCTAATCATGGATTAACCGATTATTGAAATCAATAACAGTGTAACGTAATTTCAAACTTACGCTGTCAAAATAATTTGCTGCGCATCAAGACTGCAACACTGTTCAAAGCAATGACAATCACAAAGATAGTCTTAAAAGTTGCATACTGAGTACCCAGAAGTTATTAATACTGTTAGGTCCGAAATACCATGATTTGCAGAGGCATTATATCTATATGTATAAGAGTTGAAGGCCCTCCACTTACATACACTATGGTGTCATTAATCATATAGAGTTATTGTTGTTTGTGCCGTAGTTTGTAAGTTTGTAGGTAATTGGTTTATGGTGTGAACACCATCAATTAGGTATGTATTGTGTTGATATCGTATTTTTTAATGAGTATTTGTAGATAGTAGAACATTTCCTTATTATTAATCAATTCGTGTTGTGTACAAGACCAAGAAATACCTAGCTGAATAGCAATTGTTTTTAGGTTGAGCCTTTCTTGTTCAAGCATTAGGCAATTGAATATATAGTGTTCACTCCCATCAACATCACCACATATTGAACATCTATTGGTATTTAAGTTTGCAAATCTATTTAAGTACTTTGCAAATTTTCCATGATCAGTGAAGAATTGTGTTAATAAGTGTGTTGGTTGTATCCAATGATATTTGTATATGTCCTTTATAATTGGGAAGAACTTGTACATAGTTTTCTCTTTGTATGTATTCCATTTCTGCTGCCATTTATACAAAAAATCATTCCATAAAAGTTTTTTAGCTGTCTGTAAACCAATTTTGATGTATGATATCATTAAATTTTGGTCATTAGTGGCCGACTTAGCCAATTCATCCGCTCTTTCATTCCCGATAGTTCCTTCGTGTGCTCTGGTCCACATGAAACTATAATTGTTTTTTAGAGGCAGTTATTTGTTCTTTAATTTTTGTAGAAATTGGATTTAATTTGGTGCTTTTAATTATTGCTAAAGCAGATGCACTATCACTTATAATGATGATGTTTTTGAGTTTGTATTCTCTGTTTGTCCACACAATGGCCTCCAGAATTGCAATCATCTCAGCCTGGAAGATTGTGGATAATTCCCCCAATTTAAACGTTTGATGATATATTTCAGTGTTGTCAGAAAAAACAACAAAAGCGCACCCAACTTTGTTTTCAATTTTTGAACCATCGGTATAGATTATGATATCTTGATAAGAAATATTCTCTTCAATTTTTATAGGTTGGGTACTGGGATTTTGACTCATTCGATACGGTGTTGGGTTTTCTAATTCTGATGCCAGAATATTACATTCATTAGTCGATATATCTTTGCTCCATTTTAAATTGAAAATACGACTATAATATTCTATATGTAATTCAATTGGGGTTTTTTTTGCCAGTACTTGTAGAGCCGCATTTGGAGCAGTTCTATAGGCCTTAGTAAGAAGGATGGTGGCTTTTCTTTGTGCAGAAGTCAGTTTTCTTTTTGGATGAATTTTAGAAAAAGCCCATCCCCATGATCCACAAGCATATGTTATTATGGGGATAAATAGTTGGTTGTATATTTAGTGCTTCAAAAGTAAGGCCCCAGGTATTATGGGCAGCTCTAGAAAAAGCTTGGAAAATTCGGCCTGTACGATTGGTAATGAATCCAATATGTTTGTCCCAGGCAAGTCTGTTGTCAAGAATTACACCTAGATATTTTAGCATTTTGTCAATGTGTATTGATTTTCCTCCCATTTTAATTGTGGGAACCCTACGAAAGAGGTTGGGACATCTAGGTAGGTTGAAAATTGTGCTGTTTGTTTTATTTATATTAAATCTTAGTTTATGATTTTCTCCCCATTTATATATTTTTTCCAAGACAGTAGTTCCTTTTCTCTCTAGTTCTGCTCTGGTATTACCTGCAATTAATACTATGACGTCATCAGCATAAGCAACCATCATGTTTTGCCCAAAGTTCTGTTCGAGGAACAAGTCAAACATAATTATCCAGAGAAAAGGACCAAGGACAGAACCCTGGGGACAACCTCTTGCAACGTCTCGAGAAACAGTATTATGTCCTTGTTGTATAATTGCTGTTCTTTCAGATAAGTAATTATAGAATTTTATATAAATTCCTGGGACACTTCTTCTACTAAGTTGTAACAGTATTAGCGGCCACCATGCACTGTCAAAAGCTTTACTTATATCTAAGCTTATCCCGAGTACAAATCTATTGTCATTATTCAAAAGATCGATTATTGTGTTATTTACAAAAATTTACTTTGTAAGCATCAGAAGCAGATTTTTGGTGTCTGAAACCATATTGGGAATTATGTAGACATTGATGATGTTCCATATGACAATGTATTCTGTTGGCAATTAATTAAACATTCCAAAGTTTTCCCCATCATTGGCAAAAGGGAGATAGGACGAAATTCTCCAGGTGCATTAGGTTTAGGAATGGGTACAATTCGTGCCATTTTCCATGCTTTTGGAAAGATTCCATAATTTAGACAAGTGTTAAACAGTTGTTCTATATGCTCAGCTTCCATAATTTGTGAACTATAGTAGCAGTCATACCATCAATCCCCGGAGCTTTGCCGTTTTTCAGACGTAAGAAAGCATTATTTATCTCATGTGTTTGAAATGGTATTGACAATGGATTGTCGATAGTAGAAGGAATATTTGTGCGAATTGAGTGTTGGTATTCATTATCAGAAGCATGAGAATCAATGATACAGAAACAGTCCATAAGTCTATTTAGTTCTCCCACAAAATCATTATTGTGATCTTTCTCCTCTTCAGTACAGGTGAGACATTGAGGCTTGTGAAGGCGATCAGTACATAACAGAGTTATGTATCCCCAGGGATTTTTTGAGGCACCTTTACAGTATTTTTTCCAGCATTGTAGTTTTGATTTTTTAAGTTCATTCTTGTATATGTTTTGTTGATGAAGATATTCTTGTTTAAATGCAGTACGCACAGGTTCTCTTTGACATTTCTGTAAACATGTCTTTTTCTAATACAATCTCTATGAAGAGTGCTTAGCTGTGTGGTCCACCATGGAACAGGTTTTCGTTTCATTTCTTTTTTAGGAATATATAATTCACAAGCTTTATTTATCGTTTCAATATTTTTGTTAATTACGTATATATGTAATATGTTCGTCATTGTCAGAATTGTACTCATTTAAATTGGAGGTGAAATAAGTTAAAAATGGATATCAGTTTGCACGAGATGTATTATATCTAAGATTGCAGTCATATGCGTCCCGACCAGTGCAGACAGTCTCAATACTATAAGCAATATAAGAATGGTCACTGAGCGACTCTTCCTCAAGTACCTGCCAGTTGATGATCTTTTGAAGTAAGGTACTTTTGCATACAGTTACATCAATCCAGGTTTCCCCACTATGAGATCGATATGTTGGGGGAGGGAATGGGTTGTTAACGATAGACAAATTGTTTGCAAGGAAAAATTCGTCGAATTCTTTACCTCTTTCATCTAATTGTTCTCCGCCCCATGATGGTGAGTGCACATTAACATCACCAGCAATGACAATATGATCATTACAAAAACGGTCAATAATGTGTTGGAGTGACTGAAGTATATTACCAGAATTCTCATTGCGAGGACAATATATATTAACGATTATAATGTTAATTGTTGTTGTCGAAACCGTGTTGTATTTATGTATTGTATACTGGCACAATGAAGTGACTTTTCTTCAACACTAGGCAAGTTCCAATCTTTATTCAGTTAGAATGCTTTGCTATACATCTACGTTTCGGGCATTTGCCCTCCTCAGCCAACTAAATATATATAAAATATTATATGGATACAACCAAACACAAATAAAAAACTAAAAAACGTACATAAAATTTTTTGTGAAACATACCTCACTTCGATACAAACACCAAATATACAGTAGAACACCAGATGACCCATAGGTTTACATAACGTTTCTACCATAAATTCCGTTTTATTTTTACAATAACATAATTTGTTATCTTAATTTTTACTACTTAGACAAAATAATTGATAAACTTTACAGATTTAAAATCTAAAAAATTACAAATTTCAACTATTACCTAAAGTCGTACCATTCTTATCCGTTCTTTCAAGCGTATCTCATAAGCCTTTCCTGTCACACCGTCAACTAGTTAGACGATTTGCATATATTACGATGTGCCGTGATTTGATGAGCTAACAGGTCAATCAATAAACATTTGTAAGCTTGGAGGAAAATATAAAAACTATTTTTTNAAATAAATAGATTTTAATTTTAAGTTATTTTTATAATAATTTGCATGATAATATATGTTAAATTACACATAAACATATGCTAACAGAAATGTAAAGTTCATTTTTTGTGATGAATTCCTGGCTCTTCTGAAATTCTTTAATTTTTTTACTTTTTTTTTCCTTAAGCAACCATTGGTAGCAGAAGATCGCATCCAAAACGCCTCGTTTTGCTTTTTCACTCCTTTCAAAATTTCAATCATTAGCTATAATTTCATCAACAATTTCAGTTATCGTTATCGAACTTATATTAAGGAAATATGTAGCAAGTTCTTTGGGTTCTTCGTTTTCAGAATCACTATTTCCAGTTTTACATGAAATTCTTGTTATTCCAGTTCTTGAAAGTCGTTGTTGGTAAGGCTCTCACCAGGAAACCTACAATAAATCCTCAATATCCTGCTCGTTTACATCTCCTAGTCTTTCTGTATGGATGGATACAGAGACAGGTTCGTATCGTTAAGAATTTTTTAATACCTTCAGCTATAACTTCTTGCACACTGTTTATGCATTCATCGATTAATTCTGGCAAAGCGAAGTCGATATCGCTTTATATGTATATGTATATATATATATTCCTCGTAGTGCTGTACTTTGCTTAAATCTATGTTGTATTGTGCAATTTTGATAATATTGTACGACTCGTGCTTATGGAGTGTACAATTGTTTCAAATAAGTCAAAGGCAATGGTAAAAACTACTGAACTAACTTTAATTATAACAATTAATTATCTACAACGACTAGGCAGCCATCTTTCTCCTTCGTCTTGTAAAATCAACTAGTGCCTCCTGCTTTTTTTTTCTCGCCTCCTCGCGGGATTTCTCTATAAAAAGTTCTTACAAATATATGTATATAATCAAAATTGCATAAAACAACATAGATTTATGCAAAGTACAGCGCTACGAGGAATTGACGCGTTTTGCTGCTTGCTTCGTGTTCGGGAATAATCGTATTATATACGAATCAATAAAATGACTCGATAATTTGAATCACCGTAAATTTTGAGCTTATTTTATGCTTCGAGCAGACTGCGTTATTTGGAATCAATGTTAAACGAAGCAGCGTTAAGCGGAGTCTTACTATTTTACAAAAATAATTCTTGTATTTATCTATATTTATTAAATAACAAAAATTATATTTTAAAGAAAAATATTCCAATATGATAACGGCAACGGACGTTTTTGCATACGAGATCTTTCTTCAAAGCTTCACGATGATTGAGTCGTTTTTCTTCTACAGGTAAGATTACGTAAATTAAATATTTAGAAATTTGCAAGTAAGATTACGTAAATTAAATATTTAGAAAGTCCAAATTTCCATAAAATGTTATATTTGCCATCATAAAACTTCTAAAATTAACAAATTTTGATTATTCTTATTAAATTTAATAACGAATAACACGTTTATTGTCTAGTAGTGGTTTTATGGTAATGTATTTGAGACAAAAACGTGGAAAAATCTCTGCGAAGCACTATATCATACCTTTAGTCAAGAAAGTTTTGAGGTAAAATATTTAAGTAGTAATGTCTGTGGTTTATGGTCTAAATTTAGTTAATATTATAGTTTCAGTCTTCCGGTATTCTTTGTTTTGGGCTTTGCAATTCTTCTACCTCTACTCGGAGATGGTCCTCATTGGCATGTAGTTGTTCATCAAGCGGAATACTTAGAAAACAATTGGTGGAAGTATATCACTCATGTTCATATTTATACAGAATTCGAACAGCAGGTAATTTCATAAATTTTTAACACTTATTTTTTAGTTTACTTTGACATTTCAGAAAAACACATCAAATATGTTACCAATATTTATCTACTATTGTTCCTCTTTTCGAGACCATTTTCTAATAATTCCAGTCGTGATTCCTGTGACAAATTAAGAATGACGATGCATTATTTAACCAATATACACACTGTATTTAATATTTTATTTGTTCATACAGAATGCACTTCGGCCGTAAATGTGTAATAAATAAAAAAAAACTACGATTTACATAAAGCTTTCAGAAAGCTTTAAAAATAGTGTTAAAATATACACGTGTATTAAAACTATATCAAAATTAATTTTTTTTTCCTATTCGATTTTTTAAAACTCTTTTCGTGCTGTGGGCACTAAGAGGACCTCTTTAAGCAAGTCCATTATAAGTTCGGCCAGGCCCGAATGACCGGTTGGAGAGGGAGGAGGCCCAACATATCTGTACGACCCCCTGTGGAAATATTCCTTGCAATTTTTCGATTCGTCCGATTCGCTCCTTGATCGCTCTTTCATCCGGCCACTTTCCTATTGGATTGCAACATCTGCATTACATTACGCTTTTTAAAAAACCATCAGGGTCTTAAAATCGAAAATCTTGTCAAAGGAGAATTTGAATTTAAAATTACTAAATAAATATTGATGACTTCTCCACAAACAAGAAATAGCATTATGATAAATGCTGTAACGATAAATAAATTTACACTTTTATTAATTTGTTTCTAGAAAAGGGCTGGCAGAATTACAATTTAATAAAAAGTAAAACATCTGGATACGAGTCTCGTATCCAGATGTTTTACTTTTTATTAAATTGTAATTCTGCCAGCCCTTTTCTACAAACAAATACAGTAGAACCTCGATTATCCGGACTAATTGGGGATGAAGGTAGTCCGGATAAGGAAAAATCCGGATAATCGAAACAAATACTTTAATTTGTCTTTTAATGATAATACACGTTTTCTTTTCGATGACATATCGGTAATATTAAAAATAAATACAGTAGAACCTCGATTATCCGGACTAATTGGGGATGAAGGTAGTCCGGATAAGGAAAAATCCGGATAATCGAAACAAATACTTTAATTTGTCTTTTAATGATAATACACGTTTTCTTTTCGATGACATATCGGTAATATTAAAAATAAATACAGTAGAACCTCGATTATCCGGACTAATTGGGGATGAAGGTAGTCCGGATAAGGAAAAATCCGGATAATCGAAACAAATACTTTAATTTGTCTTTTAATGATAATACACGTTTTCTTTTCGATGACATATCGGTAATATTAAAAATAAATACAGTAGAACCTCGATTATCCGGACTAATTGGGGATGAAGGTAGTCCGGATAAGGAAAAATCCGGATAATCGAAACAAATACTTTAATTTGTCTTTTAATGATAATANTTTTATTAAAATGTAATTCTGCCAGCCCATTTCTACAAACAAATATTATATTTTTAATTGTGTTGGGATTGTCACCTGTGGACATTTTAAACTGTTTTACATATTTGTGCAGAGGCATAGACTCTAAAGAAAGGTTGTCTCTGCAATAGAAATAGTTGTTCCTGGTGATTAGACATGGCAAGAAAAATTGGACTCGTATCCAGATGTTTTACTTTTTATTAAACTTTTATTATTATTATTATTTCTTCAAGTGCATGAAAGCATTTGTAGAGATTAACTGTACTTGTATGTTATTTTGACGAGTAAATCGCATATAATATTAATATTTTTATTAGATATAACATTATTTTGTATTTTTAATACATTTTCTTCATAATAATTTTTCAGAAATTTTTAAACGTTACGTGGTTTATGAGTGTGTTATTGCAATTGTCTATCATAACATCATTGCTAATGTATATTAAAGACAGGTAAGAATTCAATAATTTATTTACTTATTAATGTGGAATATGTTTCATTTTCGTAATATGGTTTTCTGATACCCAGCGAAATTGTTTACAAGTGTATACCTTTAATAAAGAAATAGGAACGATATCGTGATTTTAAATAAGATGCTGTGGTAGTCGAATATTTTTAATTAAATAAATGGATTACATAGTTTTTCAAAGACGTGGTATGCGAGACACGACTAAGTAATCTTACGTCATTTTTAGATGCTGAACACAAAAATGACACTAGACATTGTGAGATGCGAACCACCCCTGTAATTAATTAAAAATTTGATCGAAATAATAAAATTTTAGACGAAAATATTCTATGATTTTGATGGGAAAGTTATATTTTCTAAAACGAAGGAAACTGGTAAAAGTTACTTCCTTCAACGGAAGTTGAACATCCTTTTTGTTTTCCCTTATCTCCTAAAAATTTGTCACCCTGGGAACTGTGAACCCCTCAGTAAAATCTCCTTTTTTCCTGTTCACGTGGAAAAATTCGTGATGCTAATTGGTGAAAATTCGTCAAAAACAGAAAGAATTTTGTATCATTCGGGGAGTACGCCACGAAATTCCAGAGAAGGAGGACGTATTCCACATCAGCTCCCAACGGCCAACGCCCATAACCGATTCCCGAAATCTACTAAAATATGTTATTAAGTCGGTAAATACGATGAAGAAATGTGTTTATTTATGTGCCGTTAAAGAACATAAGAGAAGAACATTCATACAGAAACGGATCTTAAGAAGAAGAGAAAATAAACATGATTTGAGATAGTATGATTTTTAACAGAAATTGTGAGCTCTCTCTCTCTCGATCAATAATTTTATTCGAAGATTCAATTTTGTATAACCTAGTTCTTTTTCATTAAATTTTTGCTTTTATTGTTAAAGAAATGTCTCTTACGTTATCTGAATCAAACATATTTCATCATCTCCTTCACGACTCGATACGCGTGTTAATCCGCGTAGAATAAGTTTGATTAACTGGTGTCATCATCCTGATGTAGATCTGATCATAAGAATTGGATCTTTTCATAAACGCCCTAAGGCCATCCTTCGACTAGAGATCGGATCTTCCGATCCGAAACCCCGAGAACAGATTTCACTTAATCTGTGCCGATTAAGTGGTACATTAATTCTAGAAATTGTACCCCCGGCTAACTCACAACATTTTAGATTGTTTTAAGTTTTAAAGTTACAGACGGAAAAAGGAAAAATCGGTGAGTTTAATAAGATTTTCTTTTAAAAGCGATAGTCACAAGTTTTTTATTATTGTTTCCTACATTTCGCTTCGAAGCGTTAAGCTTATCTTTATTTTTAACAAAGAAAAGTTTTTTTAAAAAATTTGACTGATAAAGCAATATTCGAAAATTTTATCGTGTCTAGTCTTCGAAAACTTTTTAGGATTTCTGAAAGTTATCCGATATTATTTTAATTCAAACACCGGGAAAAGGTCAAATAAATATTTCTAATCAGAAAGAAACATCTATTTGAAAAAAAACAATTACTTGTCCTTTGTACAGAGTTGCGTATGAATTGAAGTAAATCAGGCAATTTAAAACATTTTCTTACGTGACACGTTTATAAACCTGCTTATATAACTGCCAATCATTACTTGCTTTTTCTATGCAATTAATAATGCCAGTCACTCAGTTATTTCAAAATACCTAGCAACTGTAAGGAAAAATTTGCGAAAAAAAGAGGAAAATTTATTTCCAATTGGGAATTAATTTACTGTTAGTACGATTTATCCTTATTTTCTCTGTGGTCTGTTTTATAATAACATCACTTACAGATTCTTCATATCATTTTTGATTACAGGAAAAATTTTCAGAACCTTCTGTAGAAAATCCAGCAAACTCGTGGCTAGATTTTCTCGGTTCCCGGCGACGTTTGTTTGCGCTATCTGTTATCATATTTTATTTTAATAAACTTTTTATATTTTTATTTGTCATAAAGTGGCAAAAGCATAATTTTGAGTATAGGGATGGTTTTATAAAAAGAAAAAATTTGTAGACACTAACAACCAATTAAATCAGACCCTATTTTAGATACGACTCACGACTCTTCTTTCTTCTTACCCCGTCACCTTTAACCGACAAAATTTAAGAGCATCAAGCCTTCTAATACACACACCACCCCCACAAAATTTCAGAAAAAATTTGCAAAAATTTCGGTTTTTATTGTTTTCTATGTATGGATGTTAGTGTGTGTATGGGGGCACAATTTTGTTCGTCCTCTTTGAAGCTTAATAACTTTTATGCTTTTTGTTGAAACTTTCTGAAATTTTGTGGGGTGGTGTGTGTATTAGAAGGCTTGATGCTCTTAAATTTTGTCGGTTAAAGGTGACGGGGTAAGAAGAAAGAAGAGTCGTGAGTCGTGAGTTAATTTAAGATCACACAGTATTGATAAACGTGTAGTGTATTATTATTGAAATGAATTTCATATTTTGAATAATTTTATCATTATCCAGATGGCCCCGAAGTGGAAATCTGGTTATAGTGTTATTGATGCTGACAGGAATTATCACACATGCCGTTGATGTGCTTTCAAACAGATATTATGCAATGTTTGGAGTACCCGCCGTTTCCGAGTATTGACCTTCAACTTTATTTTTTTCAATAATCATCGAATATTAGTCAAATATATACTAATCTATAGATTTTATTTTTTTATATTTCAGAAAAACATTCAAATACATCCGGCATCATTACAATAAACCATATTATTCCCATCTCAGTACTTTTTGTTTTGGTGCATTAATTGGAGATATATTAAACAAGAAGAAAGAAATCACATTTGAAAAAGTATACTAATTTTATTTAAGTATTCTATATTATTTAGTTATTATTGTTGTTTGTTTTAATATAAGAATATTATTTATTAAATGCTATCTGTTTGTAAGACACTGGACACTGAATACACGGAAATGTTTCTGTTTCTAACTTAGTGCAACAAAGAACAGCAAAATATAGAACGTTCAGTCGCCTTTTTTATATCTATTTGGTCAGGATAAACCTTAATTTTTAATCACTGGTGTCTTTTCGTAAAACAAAACAAGTGAAACTTTCAACCAAAATTAAAAATTACATAATACGAGTATGTTGTAAAGTAAGGATAAACAAACCGATTTACATCATACGGCATGTAGAACGTGAATCTGTTTGTTCCTGCATTCCTATAAACTCAGCATGTCTCTCCTGTAAAAACTGAAAAAGTGAATTATCGAAATTTTGAATGTAGCAGAAGTTGATTTAAACCACTCTTCAAGATTTGGAAAGCGCATAAAATTTTAATTAAATACAAACCGAATCCCAGCTTCTAAGACTTCATTAGAAAAAGGTTAAATAAGACAAAACGATCAGTGGATCCAAGATCGCTTGTAAAAGTTGATAGATAAAAAGAAAGACGCAAAACTCAAAAGGGACCAGGATAACACAATGGCTGAGGTGGAGGAACTAAGCCGAAGATACACCGAGTTGGATAAACGTCTAAAGAAAAGCTGTCAAAAAGACAGAAAGCTGAAGCGCGGAAGGCTTCCAACCGGAATGACTACAAGACCCCGTACTGCATAGTCAATGAACTGACTGGGATGAGGAATAACTCCAGCGTTCCAATAAAAAAAAGGGGGAAGCTTCTAATCGGTTAAGATGAGGAGAACACGAGGTAGATGGAACAATTTCAGGAAACATCAAGCGGAACCGATCATCATATGCGATTTCGATATTGAAAATGCAAAGGATGAGCTTTAGGTTACAATGATGATATTACCCTCGAGGAAGTGAAGCTTGCGAATAAGAGCCTAAAGAATAGTATGGCAGTCGGCTTAAACGTAATTACACGGCTGAAATTTTGATTCATGGAAGGAAGCCCATATTGTAAAAGCTAATGTTCTTGTGTAACAGGTGCTGGCAATGCGGGGAGTTCCCAGAAGATTGGGAAAGAGGCGCTATAGTCAGAATTTCTAAAAGAGAAGATCTCTCCGAATTTATTAACTGACAAGGTGTCACTATTCTTTCTATGCCTAAAAAGTCATTTTGTATGGTCTGCCTTCGTCACCTGCAAATTATCCTCGATCAGCGCTTGAGGGAGGAGCAAGCTGGGTTTCACTGCGAAAGATCGTGCAGCGAGCAGAACTTCTCTCTTCGAAATATCATCGAATAATGTGTTGAATATCGATACCCATTAGCCATCAATTTCATTAAATTCAAAGAAAACTTTTGAGAGTGTTCACCGCGAGTCCCTCTGGCGGATTCTGCGATTATATGGTGTATCCAGAAACTTTGTCACTATTTTCAAGGCCTTATATCTGCATCCGAGTTGTTTTGTCAAGACTGAAGGTGGTAATACAGATATCTTGAAATTACGACAGGAGACAGGAGGGTTGTGTCCTGCTCCCTTTTCTTCTCCTCATCGCCCTTGATTATGTCATGCGGCAGTGAAAAGAGTCTGGTGCGCGCGTTGGGACTGGCATCCACTGGTTTGACCAGGACTGTCTTGGAGATTTGGTTTTTGATGACGTTATCGCCCTATTAAAGGAAAGCGAGACAATGCTATCGCATATCACGGCCTCATTGGGTCGGGAGGCACGCAAAATTGGCCTCAGGATAATAATCCTAAAGACGAAAATTATTCATGGATGTAATAGTTCCCGAACGCGGGGAGTAATTGTCGAAGCACAACGATTGAAGGCGGTGGAAAGAATTACCTACTTGTGTAGTTATTTTTCAAAATGGTGACCGGAAATGAACTTGAGGTATCGCAACATAAAGGCAACAACAGTCTTCTGGCTGATGAACAAAATCTAGTTTTCCCCATCCATGTCATTGAAAATCAAATTCCGCCTGTTCACGTCCATCGTGATTCCGATAGCTGTTTATGCTAGTGAGTCCTGAAAGACATCAGGAAACATCAATAGAAGACTCGATGTCTTCCAACAGAAATTCCTACGACGAATCCTAAAGATCCGATATTTAGATCATATACCCAATGAAGAGGTTTTCCGAAGAAGTGGAATGTGTGAACTGCATAACATTTTCGCCATAGAAGAGTACGACTGCCCAGCCACATTTTTCATATGGAAAAAATGGCCTAAGACAGCCATGATATCGATTTCCCTGGTACGAAACGACCACGAGGACGCTTTAAGAATACTTGGTGTAGAACTTTTCTTCAAGATTTGAAGATTCTCAATATGAAGCTGAAGCTTTCGCCCATGATCGAAATCGATGGAAGATAATTGCTGCCCGGTTTGCTACCTAGCATTGGATGTATTCCTACTACTACTACAATTAGAACCTGTAGAGATTTAACTTATGGTAAAAACATATAAAGTTTTTCAGATATAGCCAAAAAAAATGCTCGATTAAGATATTCCAGCGAAAGATTTTTCCACGGGTAATCTGCAGAAAACTACGCATATTTGAATATGTTTGTGAATACTTCTTCTTCTTCTTCACGTGCCATGCCCGTCCCCCGGACGTTGGCGATCACCAAGGAGAAGGAGTTCCTATCTTCGGCCGTTCTCATTACCTCCCCAATGTTTTGTATGCCTGTCCATTTTTTAATATTGTCCATCCATGATAAATGTCTTCGGCCTCGTTTACGCTTTCCCTCAATCTTTCCATTGAGGATTAGTTGTGGGATTTTGTATTTTTCTCCTTTAGTGATATGTCCCAAGTATGCAATCTTTCTGCATTTGATTGTTGACAGCAATTTTCTGTTTGTTCTTGCTCTGCTTAGAATTTCGTTGTTGGTCACTCGATCCGTCCATGGGACTCTCAGCATCCTTCTGTGAATCCACATCTCAAATGCCTCCAGTCTTCTTTCTGTATTCCTTTTTAATGTCCAGCTTTCCACACCATAGAGGAGAACTGACCAAATATAACATTCGGCCATGCGTTGCCGCAATTTCAAATTTAAATTGTCGTTGCAGAGCAGGGTTTTCATTTTTTGGAAGGATGTTCTAGCTGCTGCTATCCTGCATTTAATTTCTTTCCCTGAATCTATATTTTCTGTAATTATGCTTCCCAAGTATTTAAACTGTTTGACCCGTTCAATTTTTTTTTGGTCAAGAACAAGTTGTGCCTCTCTGTGTGGGGTCTGACTAAAAATCATAAATTTAGTTTTGTTTGCATTTATTTTGAGACCGGCATCAATTCCTGCTGAGTTAATTTTGTTTAGTAGTACCTGTAAGCCTTCTAGGCTGTCGCATATGATTAGTGTATCATCAGCATATCTAATGACGTTAAGAATTACGCCGTTGATTTTAATCCCATAATTTGAGTTTTCTAAGGCATTTTTGAAGATTTTGTCTGAGTACAGATTAAACAATAAGGGCGAAAGAATGCAGCTTTGCCAGACTCCTCTCTGTATTTCAATTTCTGCTGTTTTCATTGTTCCTAACTTGACTTCTGCTGTTTGACCCCAGTATAAATTTTAAATTATTCTGATGTCCTTGCCATCTAATTGAATTTGGTGTAGGATCTCTATTAATTTGGAGTGTTTCACATATCGAAAGCCTTTTCATAGTCGATGAAACAAGCAAATATGACTTTTTGTTGTTCACGACATCTCTGGAGAAGGACGCTGATACTAAACAACGCTTCTCTTGTTCCAAAAGCATTTCTGAATCCAAATTGAGTTTCCTCGAGATCAATTTCACATTTTTTATATATCCTGGCGTGTATAATATGTAGAAATATCTTCAGAACATGGCACATGAGACTAATGAGTCTGTAGTCGCTACAACTTTTATGATGACTTGTCTTAGGGATTGTTACAAAGGTTGATTTTAACCAGTCTTTTGGTATTGTGCCAGTATTGTAGATCCGATTGAATAATCTAGTAATTAGTTTAATATTATCATCTTCGATCAATTTCACAGTTTCAGTCGGGAGTTCGTCAGGTCCGGGAGTTTTCTTATTCTTTGCGATAAGAATGGCATGCTTTACTTCTTCGTCGAGTATTTCAGAACCTTCTACTGAGTCTTTATTTATGGGTGTTGGTCTTTCCTCATCAAAAAGTTTTTCAACGTAATGTTTCCACGTGTTTTTCAGTTCATTTTCATCAATAATAGGACTGTTATTAGCATCCATTAGTATATTAAAGCAATGACACTTGAATGAACCCGTCATTTCTTTGATTTTCTTATGCATCTGGAACATATTATGTTCTTTTTCGAGGTTTTCAATTTCGTTGCAGTTTCTCTTTATCCATTCCTCCTTGGCCTTTTTTATCTCTATCTTTATAATGCCATTGATACGTATGTAAGTTTCTGCGTCATTTTTTGTTAGTCTTCGTTTTTCCATTAAGTCTAGTATCTCTTCCATCATCCATCTTTTCTTCTTGACTTTACAGGTTGATTTTAGGTTTTTGTGACAGACTTTAATCAAGGTGTCCCTCAGATCTTCCCATAGTGTTTGTACGTCAGAATGATTATTATCTTTCAAGTTGCTCAGCTCCTTATTCAATTCTTTTTCTACTTGTTTTCTAAATTGTGGTATTTCTATTCTCGTAATATCATAGTGTTGGCTTCTGCACTTTGGTTTAATTGCCTTTAATTATAGTTTGATGTCTGCCACCAGTGGAACATGGTCAGAACCAATATCTGCGTCAGGGAATGTTGTCACCCGTGTTACGCAGTTTCTGTGACGTCTATTAATAAGTATGTAGTCTATCTGGTTTCTATTGAATAATTGGTGTTTGATTTTTATCAGCAGGTGATTTCCAGGTGTAGAGTCTTCTTTTTGGTAATTTGAACCAAGTGTTCGTAATTACCATATCATTTTCCTGGCAGAATTCAAAAAGTCTGTCACCTCTTTCATTGCTTAGACCCAACCCAAAGTCTCCTATCAGATCTTCCCATCTTCCCATGCCAACTTTAGCGTTGTAATCACCAA